CTTTAGTAATTAACTTTTAGCTTTTATTTGGTTGGAAGTGACTAGGATTTAAAAGGGTCTGGACCAAAGAGAAAGACATCTAGGCTTTTGTTGGGCATGTACTCGTAGATGAGTAGTAACCCATCTTCCTCCAAGAAACAACCTAGCAGTCTAACAGGATTCATATGTTGTAGTCTTGCAATTAAAATAACTTCATTCTTGAACTCTCGTAATCCTTGGCCAGAACTTCTTGAGAGTCTCTTAACTGCAATTTCCTTGCCATCTAATAATGTATCGTGTAAACATTTTGAAGTCATGCAACAATCTTTAATAAGAAATGGCTGCATTAATGCCTATTTATGGTTGTGTTGGTCCTTTAAATTTAACCCTGCATTGTCAATCACCTAGTGCACCATGTTACCCATACATGTGACAAACTATGATTTATATCCTTCAAAGATTATTGTTAGCACCATAAATACCTTGTAAACTAGACCAAATCCACATTCTCCAAGCTTATTTTCTTCAGAAAAATGTTTTGTAGCTGCATGTATAAGATCTAACTGGATTGAAGGAAAGTCTTATGATTTTGTTGTTAGCTCCAGCTCATATGGAGGAATTAATGAAGGCTGGCTCCAAGTCAAGGAGTAGAAGGGGAGAGGGTAGGTGGAAGACTAGCTTATTTTTTTTTCTTCGTCTTTCTGTTATAAATGTTCACCGGTTTCTTGACTTTGTTTCCCTATCTTTTGTGTATAAATTGAGATGATGAGGAAGAGATGAAATACAACACAGACAGAGTAAGAGAAAATCAGAGAGAGTGTGTAAATCTATAGAAAGGAAGTGAGAGTGAGTTCTGTAATCTCTCTCCAGAAAATTCTATAGTGAAAATTCTCTCCGTGGACATAGGCAATTGCTGAACCATGTAAATATCTTGTGTCTCCTTCCTGTGTCTGTAATTGATTTCTGAGTGTGCCTAATCCTAACAAGTGGTATCATTGTCTTGTTGGAGAAAAATAGTGTGTTTTTTCAAAAATTGTCAAATTTCGAAGTTGTTTGAAATCAACTTTTGAGCACACCAAGAGGTGTGTCTCTTTGAGACGATTTCGACGATATAAAATTCGTCAAAATCGGAGCTAAAACGAGTGCTGTAGAGCTTGCTGAAGATTCGCCAAAATTTCGCTTGAAATTTCAATTCGGCAAAAGCATTGGAAGAAGAAGGCTGATGTCACTGTGACGTCATCATTGCATCAGTAGAGTTTCTAAAATTGCAATTTAGCCCTTGAAGTTGTGGTAAATTGCATTTCAGCCCCTTAAGTTTCTAAAATTGCATTTTAGCCCTTGAAGTTGTGGTAAATTGCATTGCAATCTCTAAAGTTTTTGAAATTGCAATTTATCCCCTGAAGATGTGGTAAATTTCATTTCAGTCCCTAAAGTTTTTGAAATTGCAATTTAGCCCCTAAAGTTATGGTAAATTACATTTCAGTCCCTGAAGTTTCCAAAAATTGCAATAAGAATCTTGGATTTGGGAAATTGTAATTTGGCCTCCTGAGATAGGAGAAATTTCATTGAGGTCCCTGAAAAAGTAGAGAAAGTGCTTTTCTGACTAATTTAACCATTCTAGACTCAACGGTGTGGTCCGTTTGTTCAAATTCAAAATTGTTGTACATGCAAGAAGACGATGAAGGAATCCACATCAACTTCAAGATTGATGATAAAGTTGAATGTTTCCAGTTATGGAATCTGGAAGCCGCGGATGGAAGACGTCCTATACTGTAGAGACCTGTTTGACCCTATTGCTCTAAAATGGGTTAAAACAAAAGCAGAGAATGATGAAGACTGGATAAAGATGAACCGGAAGACTGTTGGTCAGATCGAACAATGGATAGACCACAATGTGTTCTGCCATGTCACCCAGGAGACAGATGCATATGTCTTCTGGACAATGTTAGAAGGAATATATCAGTCAAAGACTGACCGAAATAAAACCTTGGTGATGAGAAGGCTTGTAAATCTGAAGTTGAAGAATGATCTGTCTATCGTCGAGCACACCAGTGAATTCAAGAATCTGGTGAATCAGCTTGCAACCGTCAAGATGCCCTTGGACGATGAAATGCAAGCCGTACTACTGCTCAGTTCATTACAAGACAGTTGAAAGACGTTGGTGGTTTCTCTCAGCAACTCTACAGCAGAGGGAAAGCTGATTATGAGCATGGTCACGGACGCCCTGTATAATGAAGTGACAAGAAAGAAAGACATGGGAGGTCATCAGTCCCATGCTCTTGTTACAGAAGATAAAGGCAGAGACAGAGGTAGAAGAAGGGGTAAAGGAATGAGCAAGAGTAGTGGCAGATGGAACAACATGAATAAATCTAGAGATAGTAAAAGTCAAGGTAACTTTAGCTTCACTTCCTTTCACTGTGACTAGGAGGGTCACATAAAGTGGAACTACCTAAGCCGGAAAGATAAATCCAAAGCAGTAAGTCAAAGGGAGATGAGAACACGACAGCCATAACAACTAATGAAATACTTCTTGTAATTTGTGAAGAGAATGATTGCCTTCATGTGGCTGACCACAGCTGTACATAGTGGGTGATAGACACAGCTGCATCCTATCACGCCACTTCCCACAGAGAACTCTTCAGCTCGTACAACGTTGGAGATTTTGGCACTGTTCGAATGGGAAATTCTAGCTATTTGAAAATTGTGGATAGACATTTGTATTCAGAGTAATGTCGAACACAAGCTAGTTCTCAAAGATATGAGGCATGTTCCAGATTTGCGCCTCAATCTTATCTCTGGAAGTGGCCTAGACCAACAGGGCTATACAAGTACATTTGGAAATGGCCGTTGAAAGCTGACAGGAGGAGCTTTGATAATTGCCAACGGAGAGATATATTAAACACTGTACAAGACTCAAACGAAGATATATCTAGGAAGTCTTAATGCAACAGAAGACAAGGAGTCAGCAGACTTATGGCACAGAAGACTGGCTCACATAAGTGAAAAGGGATTGCATCTATTGGCAATGCAATCCAGGATACCCTTATCCAAAGGGAGTGCCTTGAAGTCGTGTGATCATTGTCTTTATGGCAAGAAGCATCGAGTATCATTCATTTCAATGAGCAAGAGGAAAATAGAAGTGCTCAGTATGGTATACTCAGATGTTTATGGCCCGATTGAAGTGGAGTCACTTGGTCGCCGCAAGTATTTTCTGACTTTCATTGATGATGTATCAAGGAAGTTGTGGGTGTATTTCTTGAAGACGAAGAATGAGGTATTCAAACACTTTCAGGAGTTCTATGCAATGGTAGAAAGAGAGACCGAGAAGAGTTTGAAGTGTCTTCGCATAGACAATGGTGGCGATTACACTTCCAATGCTTTTGAAGCATATTGTGCCAGCAAAGGTATCCAGCACGAGACAACAGCTCCCGGTACCCCACAACATGATGGTGTGGCAGAGATCATGAACCGCACTATTGTTGAAATAGTCAGATGCGTGCTCAAAATGGCAAAGTTACCAAAGTCATTCTGGGTTAAAACCGAACAGTCTGTTATCTTATCAACAGGTCGCCTTCAATCCCATTGAATTTTGCTATACCTGAGGAAGTCTGGTCCAAAAGAAAGGTATTGTACTCTCACTTGAGAGTCTTCGGTGTAAGGCGTTCTCACACATCTTCAAGGAAAATAGACGAAAGCTTGATGACAAGTCCACTCCATGCATATTTGTGGGCTATTTAGATACAGCATTTGGGTACAAGTTGTGGAACCCAGTGAACAGGAAGATGTTCAGCAGTAGAGATGTTGTGTTCCAGGAAGACCAGACAGTAACGGATTTTGAGAAGTCTACAAAGTCTAGATATGTCATCACTCCAGACTTGTTACCATCTCCCTGAGCCATCTTAAAATACTAGATGTGATGATGTGCAACAAGAAGTGCTAGAGTTGCAAGATCCTATGCTTGAAATTAAGGATTAGGAAGAAAGAGATGAAGACCCAAATGAAGAGGGTGTTGAGCAGGGGAAGCAACCCCCTCAAACTGAGGCAACTGGGCCTCAGTTGCGAAGATCTGAAAGAGCTGCCATGCCATCAACCAAATATTCTACTTCTCAGTATATTCTGATAACTAATGAGGGGGAGCCCGAGAGATTTTCGGAAGCAAAGAGTCATACAGAGAAAGACTATTGGATGCACGCCATGAAGGAGGAGATGCACTCTTTGCAGAAGAACCACACTTATGAGCTTGTTCCACTTCCAAGAGGCGGGAGAGCCTTGAAGAACAAATGGATGTATAAGTTGAAGAAAAATGGCAACGGTAAACTATTACAGCATAAAGCTCGCTTGGTGGTCAAAGGTTTTGGCAGAAGAAGGGAATTGACTTTGATGAGATCTTCTCTCCAGTTGTGAAGATGACTTCCATTCGAGTAGCTCTAGGATTAGTAGCTCGCTTGAATCTGGAGCTAGAATAGATGGATGTCAAGACTGTCTTTCTCCATGGTGACTTGGAGGAAGAGATCTATATGGAGCAACCAGAAGGATTTGAAGTTAAAGGAAAAGAAAATCTAGTCTGCAAACTGAAGAAGAGTCTCTATAGCCTAAAGCAGGCACCGAGACAATGGTACAAGAAGTTTGATTCATTCATGGAGGATCACGAGTACACAAGAACGGTAGCAGACCAATGTGTATACTTCCGAAGGTTTTAGGATGGAAACTTTATTATCCTACTGTTGTATGTTGATAACATGCTGATCATCGGACATGATATTGTTATGATCAACAAGTTGAAAAAAAACTTGTCGCAGTATTTTGACATGAAGAATTTAGGTCCAGCATAGCAGATTTTGGGCATGAAGATTGTTCGTGACAGAAAATCCAAGAAGATATGACTGTCACAGGAGAAATATGTTGAACAGGTGATTGAAAGGTTTAACATGAAAGATGCCAAGCCAATCAGCACGCAACTAGCCAACCATTTCAAGGTGACAAAGCGTTCGTGTCCTACGACTAGCTTTGAAAGGAAAGAAATGGAGGCAATACCCCATTCTTCTGCGGTAGGAAGTTTGATGTGTGTTATGAGGTGTACTCGGCTAGATATAGGTCACGCAGTTGGCGTTGTGAGCAGGTTCCTCGCCAATCCAGGAAAGGAGCATTGCGAGGTGGTCAAATGGATTCTTCGGTACTTAAAGGGAACTTTAAAGATGTGTCTATGTTTTGGGGGAGCTAAACCAATTTTAGAGGAATTTACAGATGTCGATATGGCAGGTGATCTTGATGGTAGAAAATCTACATCAGGATTTCTGTTCACCTTTGCAGGGAGAGCTGTTTCATGGTAGTCCAAACTACAAAAGTATGTTACTTTATCTACAATAGAGGTAGAGTACATTGCTGCCGAAAATGCTAAAAAGAAAATGTTGTGGTTAAAGCGATTTCTCTAAGAATTGGGTCTACAACAGGAAGAATACAAGGTACATTATGATAGTCAGAGTGCAATTGATCTGAGCAAGAATTCCATGTACCATTCACGTACAAAGCACATTGATGTCCGGTATCATTGGATATGAAAAGTGATAGATAAGCAACTGATGAAGCTGGTGAAGATTCACACGAACAAGAATCCTTCTGACATGATAACCAAGGTTCTCACCAGAGACCAACTGGAAGTTTGCAAGAATCTGATCGGGATGAACTTCAAGTGAGAAGTTAGTTATCCATATGTGCATGGAGGGGGAGAATTGTTAGCTCCAACCCACATGGAAGAATTAATGAAGGCTGGCTCCATGTCAAGAAATAGGAGGGGAGAGGGCAGGTGGAAGACCAGCTCATTTTTTTTTCTCTTCCTTTTGTTATAAATGTTCACCGGTTTCTTGACTTTGTTTTCCTCTCTTTTGTGTATAAATTGAGATGATAAAGAAGGGAATAAATACAGCACAGACAGAGTAAGAGAGAATTAGAGAGAGTGTGTAAATCTATAGAGAGGAAGTGAGTGTGAGTTCTGTAATCTCTCTCTAGAAAATTCTATAGTAAAATTTCTCTCTGTGGACGTAGGCAATTGCCGAACCATGTAAATATCTTATGTCTCCTTTCTATGTGTGATTGATTTCTGAGTGTACCTTATTCTAAAATTTGTGTGCTTGTTGCCTAGCAATTTTTTACTATTGTAGTCATCACCAAATTGTCCTCCCAGGTCGAGTAATTGCACTTCATGGTTGTTTTCTTTCTCTTCTACAGGCAAAAAGAAGAATAAATTGACATACTGGGTTGTAAACATGTAATAGGATTGTGGCAATGGCTAAAAGAATGTAGTTACCTTTCTTTGCTCTTTTCCTTCTCCTTTGGTAGTAGATATAAGCACCAAGTAGAGATAGCACTAGGAATGCTGAAAGAATTATGCTGATACTGATTATAATTATTTTTCCTTTCCTACCTTCTAAAAACAAATGGTTTAATTTTAGCCACTATTTAAATCATGACCATTTTCATTCAATTTGAATTAACGGAAACATTTTTTGAAAGGAAAAAATATTCATTTTTTTTTGGCATTTGGACCTTATCATATTATAAACAAAATCTTTCATTCACAACATAAATAATGTGTAGAGAAATTAAAAAATTAACATAGAACTTTTGTATCACGAGCACATGTGGGTCAATCCTATTAGGAAAAAAAAACCATAAGCCCCCGCTGTGTGTGCTCAATCGTAGGTGGAATTGCATCAGCAGGGTGAATCTTCTTGCCATAATCGCAGCAATTCACGATTGGGGCTTATATTGGTGGGGTTGTGGTGAACGACAGCATTTTGGGCTGCCTTTGGGTGCCCAAAATGATTCTCCGTCATCTTGTTAGAAATGGTTTGAAATTTTGGGTAAAACCAGAATTTTTTTCTTATCTTTGGTCAATTATTTAGGTGGGACCCGTGCGCCTAAATTGGCGGGTCTAAGTGGTAACGCGTTCTTTGCCGCGTTGTGATTCACGTGGTATATTTGGTTGCTCAAAACCATTATCAAGTGAATAGGAAATTGAAACCAAAGTGTGCTCTATGGAAATGGAGTTTTGGTGGAAATTCCTTAAGGTTTGTGTAAATGGCTTATCCCACATTGATTTGCTGGGAAGTTTTGAATGGGTTTATATAGCTTGGACTTATAACTTGGGGAGGGCCCCAAGGGGCACCCCAAGTTCATAGAAGGGAGAGGTTATGGGCAAAATGGGCTAGACCCATTCGACCCAATAATCACCACACGCGCGCGCCACCGCCGTCCGTCCGGTCGAGCGGGCTAGGCTGGACCTGGACTTAGGCGCGGGTGCGTGGTGTGAGGTTGGGTTGGGCTTGTCCGGCCCAATACTAATCTTTTTCGGCCAAAAATATTTGAATTCAATTTATTTTTGATAGAATAAATTCTGTCCAAATTTAATTTTCAATTTTTGAATTCAAAATTTTATTTGCACCTCTTCTGAAATTCTGTACAGGTTCGGATCTGTCCAAAACCAAATATGTTCTGTTCAAATTTAAATCCACCCGAATAGATTTGAAATTCAAACAGATTCGGTTATCTATTCAAATTCAAACCCAACAGGTACAGTACCTGTTCAAACGGGTATGCTACCTGTTCAATTCAAAATTAAAGGGTGCCATTACTTTTATAAATAGACCATCCCTCATTTGATTAGATTCACTCTAATTTTTGTCCTTCCTTGCTGCAATATCATCTCAGCATTTTGCTGCATTTATTCTATTATTTTTCTTGTCAGAAAGAGTAGATGCCATTTATGTTATCAAATTTGACAGGTTGAATAACAAGTACTAAACATGTCATATCAGCAAATATCAACATATTTTTTGCTCTAAATTCAATTGGAAAAATAGAATTCATACAGTAGAAAACCTCCCAAATTTCATAATCAAACCCAAATTTCCGAATCAAATCTAAATTTTAAAGGAGTTGTGAAATTCACAAATTTCAGAAATAGCAGAAAAAATTTAGAACAAATCACACAAATTTCAGAATTGATTCAAAACCAATCAAACCAAAAAAGTTAGTGAAGAATCAATTTCAGAATTTCACAATCATACAAATTTTAGAATCACACAAACAAATCACACAAATTTCAATTTCATAATCAATTTCAGAATCACACAAATTTCAGACTAAATTTCACAAATTTATATAAATTTCAGAAACGACTTTAGATGATAAATTCTTAGATCGACTTGTAGGGCTTCTTCTTCATCGACTTGTAAGGCTCATTCTCAGACCAATCGAGCTTCATCGAAGTCCAAATAGTAGTGTTCAGCGAAACACTAGAGTTCCATTGAGAGAGAGAGAGAGAGAGAGAGAGAGAGATGCGCTTGAGATCAAAGAGAGAGAGAGAGAGAAAGAGAGAACACACCATTTCAGCCAACTGGTTTGAGGACAGAGAGAGAGAGAGAATGCTGGTTTTGGAGATCAGAGATTGGTGATCAGTTTGATGATAAAGAAAGAGAGAGAGAGAGAGATGCTCTTGAGATCAAAGACAACGAGAGAGAGAGAGAGAGAGAGAGAGACCACCATTTTAGCTGATTGGTTTGAGGACAGAGAGAGAGAGAGAATGCTGGTTTTGGAGATCAGAGATTGGTGATCAGTTTGATGATAAAGAAAGAGAGAGAGAGAGAGATGCTCTTGAGATCAAAGACAACGAGAGAGAGAGAGAGAGAGAGA